AGTTGTTTGGGACTCCTAACAGCTCTTGAACCTTCAAGAAGCTTCCTCTCCTCCTTACCACCTAGGTTTATAGGGTCCATTCCTAAGGAGCGCCTCCTACTTACGGGAAGGGGAAATACCTGGGCCTACCTAGTAGGCCCCAGACATTCCCTGTCTGAGGTATCACACCAAAGCGAATGAAATCCATGCCCATGATCGCAGAAGACCTTAGCCTTGATAAGTAAACCACCTGCCAGGAACAATCACGGAAACGTTCTTTGTGGGCACTCACTTGAGTGTGTTCCGTGAAGAAATCAGAGTCCTTCTTCTCCGGGGAATGACTGGGAGCACTACTCATATTGTCTATCCAAAGCTAGAAGGGAGAAAACACTCTAGAAACACAGGGCTCTGAATATTCCCACTCACCCCACTACCCCAGCCCCGGGAACCAGGCACTTACATCAGTGCCATGCCTAGCCAAGGCCGCATTCCCCAGCTGCCGGATCTTTTCCCGGTACATCTGAGCAGCTCGGCTATTATATTTGGTGTTGGCATCATTGGCTGTGCATCCATGTTGGCGGAAGAAAGCTGTCTGGAGAATAAAGAAGAGAAGAGTGTACCACAGGAGATTCTCCCCAGAGCAAAAAAGGCACCCCCTTATAACAGTCCAGTTCTTATTTATACAGGATGATACACTCTCTCGACACCAACAGTTTTTCATAAAGTTCCTCAAATTCCTGCAGAAAACACAGCCTCCCATCCTGAGATGACTGACTGAAGCCCAGCCCTCACTCAACCCTACCTGAGGACAGCATGCCATTCCCGCTCTGCCCATCCTTCTTCATCCAGGGTCATAAGACCTGGATGACTGCAGAGGCCCTAACTCCCTTGGCCTTTCCTCAAGAACATCTGCTCAGTTTACTTTGAATCTGAAGCCCCTTTAAGAAGAACACTGACCAATTTCCAAATTTAGAGAATAGTGTATAGTGTTGCTTTAGAGAATTCTCTGAACAGAGAAATTGAGAGGGTCTCCTAAGAAGTCATCCTAGAGTTAGTATCCAGGCAGAAGAGTAGGGGCAGGAAGATGGCAAGAAAGAGCTTTACCGCATTGGCATTCCCGCCGACCTGCATACACCTCAGCTGGTACCAGCTCCAGTTGGAATCCAACTCTGTGGACCTGTGTGCAAGGGCTGCATGTCATTCACCAGCAGATACCAGTAGACACTTTCCTAGCAGACCCATTCATACCTGTCATTTGACCTGGGGCTGCAGTAGGCGCCCAGGAAACATTACTCAGCCACCACCCTGCTTGCTCTGCTCTACCCTGTCCACGAAAGCTTCCCTCTTCATTTATCTAGTCAACAGGGTCCTAATTATTTTCCAGGTCCGAAAGGAGGTCGAATTCTCAGGCACTCAAGCTTGGATTTGGTTTTCCCCTTAAGGACGGCCAGTCTCACTTCAAATATACTTGACCAATATGTCAGCTACGACAAAGTCAAAGTAGTTAACTTTTCTCCAGAACTAACACTCAGACAGTCAAGTTTGGCCGCCAGGAAAGAAGGGAGTTTTGACCCAAACGCAGAGACAACAGCCTATGTGACAAGGGGCCCACACAGGCGGTTCCCTCCCGTGAGAGGTTAAGGACCTCCCCGGGATGTTTCCGAACACCGAATTCAGGACGGTCCACGACGGTTCAAGTCGAGGCAGCCACTCTCCCTTGATGAGCACACAGCCTCGGCCCAGCAGAAGCACAGCAGCCGCAAAGAGACCCCACCTGATGAAGCTGAGATGGACGCCCAGGGAGCGGTGCACCCCGGAGCAGTCAATGCACAAGAAAACACCGTATGTGATGCTGGCCCAACTCGGATTCTTGGCACCACAGTCGAAGCAGGCCTGGGTGGAGGAAGCGATGAGCGAATGATCAAGGGCCCCGAGTCGAGGCCGAAGGCTGACACCCCAGGAAAACAGCCCACGTACGCCCCTCTCCCTCCCTCGGGCCTCAGGGGAGCCGGGAGAGTCGCTCTTGGCGGCGCAAGAACCCGCCTGCTTCCCACTCACGCACCTTGTTGGTCGGAACTGCGCGAAGTCTCCTAAAAAGAATCTGGATTTCGTTCTTACTCGGCTCCGCCGCCATTTTCTCTCCTTCCCAGACACCAGCGCGACCGACGGGCCCCGTCAAGGGCCAATCCGCGGCCGGGAAGGCAGAGTACACACGTCGGCCTTAGCCACGCCCATGCCGGCCGAGGGGTGGGGCCATTTGTCCCGAGCTGGACCAATGAGCGGCCGGCGGAACATGCGCAGAGACATCAGCAGCCTTTGTCCCACAATAGCCTCCTGAATCCACGCCGCGCAACTCCGGAGCCAATCCGTAGCCAGGGCCCTGTGACGGCCCGCTGGTCAGCCCCAGCCACGCCAGATCGCTACCCTTGGAAGGTGGAGCCACCTCCCAGAAAGCGTGGGCTGCAAGGCCAGGGACCCGGGTCTTAGTTCGAGCCAGTTCACGATGGATGAGTAATGACAGCCCTACTAAGCCCTCAGGGTCCCACCAGACTGAACGGGGAGACAAACTGGCCGGGCTCCCGCCCAGCTCACAACTCAGCACTCAGGCCGACTCACACCAAGCCTGATCTCGAGTCCCTTTCACTCAGGTTAGAGTCCCGAAATTCCAGAGCAGATACCATATGGCAAACTTTTGCCCAACTCCAGCCCCCATGACATCTTCTAGGCCCACGGACCTCCCTTTAGTGCCTCTCCCGATGCCCTCTGCAGCCTGGCAAGGTCAGAGTATCAAAAAAGATGCACGCAATGCTTTTTTCCTCAAGTTTAATACACACTAGAACAAGCCACAAAAGAGTGCTGCTAGTCCAGAACTACACTCACCCCAAGCCCACCCCAGGAACCCCAAAACTCAGAGACCAGGAACTGGTTCTGCAGCTCCTGGGGAGACCGAAGCACTCCTGGGGAGGCCCAGGTATCCCTGAGCCCTTCTGTCACTTCCTGACCTCCCCATCTTACCCTCAGCCTAGACTCAAATTGGCCCTTCCCTACCAATCCCTTCCTGGACACGTGACCCTCCCCTCCCTAGTTCCCTGGACTCTCTCCTTCCTCAAGGGCAGCGGGGGCACAATGGTTCAGGGTCCTCAGGTCTCGCTTTCCAGGAGAAGCTAGGCTCTGGTTCAGGGTGGAGAAACGTTGCAGAAGGGCTGTCAAGGTGGTCAGGCCCCCACACACTCCACGTAATTGGCAGGGTACAGGCCAATGCGGCCACTCTGCAGCTGGCCCTGGCACCAGCCCTGCTCATCCTCCTCACTCATCTTCAGCAGCTCCTCCCCTGGGGGAAAGGGGATTGGTCATTACCAACTGCCCTGGCCCAGCCCCATTCCTACAATTGGGTCAGGGACTGAGGCAGGGGGGGCGGGCAGTAACCTAGAGAATTCAGCTAGAGGAAGAGACATGGTTCAGGCAGAGGGAGGTGAAAGTCAGCAAGCCACCCCACCCCACCCCACCCCAGACCCTGAATGCAGCAATCAGGCCCCAGCTGGTGGTTTTGAGAGGCAGGTGAGGGCTCAAAGCAGACACTGTCTCTTGCAGGCTGGACCCAGAACAACCTTAAGAGTTAGAGAACTGGCCCTTGAGAAATGGTATCTGGCTTCCCTTTTCCACACCCTTGCTCAGGCCAGTAAAAGAGGAGGGGAGGCTGAAGCCTGGAAAGGAAAAGGAAAGGGGTCCCAGGGTACCTGCTCGGAAGCTCAGCTCATCAGCTTCTTGGCCAGCGTAGTCATAGAGTGCCCGAACCCGCACCCCAGTGGCAACCTTCCGGGAGCTCTCTTCATCTGACCACTCCTCATCCTGCCCACCACTGGAGAGGGGAGGCAGAAGGGGGCAGGCTCAGGGCACAAGGAACACCTTGCGTGAGAGCCTAGGACCCAGGGCTAAGGGCTCACCCCCTTGGAGGAATCCTGGGAGATGCAGGTGGGGAAGAACTGAAAGATTCTAGTCTGACCTCTGCCACACAGTGCTGATGTGAGCAGTAGATGAGAGGGAACATGAGAAACACCTGGCAAACCTAAACCACCATGAAAGGTGGTATTACAGCTACTAAGTAGGTCTTAAGGTCCCTGACGCCAATTTTCAACCCACTTCAGGTATGAAGTGATTGAAGGAAAGGAGACCGAGGAAAAGAGGGCAGAGCAGGGGGCAGAGCTGCACAGCCAGGTGACTGGCTCTCACCCTGAGGACCCCGGGGACTTAGGTGGGGGCACAGCGCCATCTCTTGTGGGCACGATGCTGGTCAGAGTAACCTCATCAGGGCTCCGGCCACCCTTCTCCTTCCGGCTGATTATCCTCTGTGTGTCCAAGGACCACTCCTGTGGGGACAGTGCTTAGGGTCAGGCTGGGCTGCAGGCTGTGGTGGCAGCCAGAGCCATCCAGACCACCTTCACCTACTTCATTCCAAGCCCTAGCTTCCCTCCTGAAATCCAGGTTGAGCCCACTGGGAGCCCACCCCGCCTCCCAGCCCCGCCTGGAACACGTACCTCAAACTGTGGCCAGTTCATGGCCATGCCTGGCCCATGGGTGCTGCGCCACCAGCGCAGATCCTCTTCGTCACTGGCTGCCTCAATACCTTGATGAAGGTCTTTGTGGAGCTCATGGAACCTACGGCCCAAGGCACAATCCTCAGACTAGGAAGTCCTGGGCTCCTGCACCGCCACCTCCAATCTCATTCAGCGCAGCCAGAGCCCAGGTGAGATGGATTACCCCAGATCACACTACCCCGCAGCCCATACCTCTCACTGCTGGAGAGGTCGAGGTGCTGGTGTATGGTGAGCAGCATGTCTTTGAAGAAGAGAAGCCGCTGGCGCTCAGCAGCCTGACAGGTCTCGAAGGCCTGCTCCATGTCTTCCATGTAGCGTGGGGTGTAGCGATGCAGCTCTGCCAGTGTCTGCTCATACTGAGTTTTCATCTGGGTGGGAAAGGAGGAGGCCTGGTGAGGATGATGAGACCTTCTTCCACTCAGGACTCTGCTAGTATTTACTGAGTACCTGCCATGGACCAGCTCTGGCCTAGGCACCAGGGGCAATCAGTCACAAGACCTAGTTCCTGCCCCTAAGACTCAGCAGCCTAACAAGAGAGGTGACATTCCAGCACAGCAGCTTTAAGAGTCTGGCGAGTGGAGATTAAGAGTGAAAGTAAGAAGAGATGGAGAATCGAAGATGATATAAGGTCAACCGATGAGGGAAAGGAGAAATCAGAAAAGGCTTCATGGAGGAGGTGGAAACTGAGCAGCACCTCTGAGGACAGGAGGATTTGGATATGCAGAGCTGAAGGAAAGGGCACTCTGGCAGAACAGGCAACGTGAGAAGTTGTCCCAGGTGGTACACTGGGAAAGGAAGAGGGCTGGGAAGGTCCCATCAACTACTAAACTCATCCCGATGCCTGAAATTGCACCATGTCTTTCCCTGGGTAAATTATCATCTTTTCTCAGGTTCCTCCTTTAAATGATAATCTGGAGAGAGAGTGGCAGGTGAGGATGAGAGCAGTAAGACTGCTGGGGACTGGGAAAGGCATTCAGGAAGCCCCAAGCTGGGCCGGGCGGTTCAGGGCCGGTACCTTCTCGGCCTCCTTGGTGCAGCGTTCCACCCGCTCCTGCAGCTTGCGCAGCTGCTCCTGGGAGACCGTGTTGTCTGCCTTCGCGTGGCTCTCCCGAGTCTGGGCTGTTTTCTCCTCCTTCCGGGCTCCATGGTAGCTCTTCTTGGAAGCCTCAACCTGGCACACACACGGACAACTCTGGACCTTGCACACCATGCCCCAGCCCCCTCGAACCCCTGGCAGATCCAGGAAAGGGGGTGCCTCTGATGCCCATCCCTCCCAGGCTCACCTCCTTCAGCCTCTTCAGCCAGGGCTTCTGGGCCTTACGGAAGCTGTCCTCGGCAGCCCGGCTCTCACGGAAGCCACCCAGCACCGGCCGGTGGAAGGCGCCCCGCTGCCAAGCACGCACCCGCTCGCTGTCCTGCCCCTGCAGCTTCTCCCGCACCTCCAGGTGCAACGTGCTCAGCCGCTCAGCCGCCGTGAAGAAGGCGTGCCAGGCCTTCTCCAGCGTGCCGTACTGGGGGCCTGCAGGGAGGGATGGAGCTTAGGCCAGGCCAGGAATATCACCGGAAATGAGCTCTCTCCCTCTCATTGGGTGCTGTTCTGGGTACCTTCCAGGCATGGAAGGTGGGATGCAAAGATGAGCAACAACATCAGCTGCTGCTTACTGAATACCTGCTCTGTGCCTTGACATACCAGATCTCACTGAATCTTTGCCTCATCCACCTCTGTGAAAACAGTGGCATGATCGACATTTAACAGATGAAAAAAAGGTGCCCCAGAGAAGTGACGGTAATTGCCCAAAGCATTACAGCTATAGATGAAGCTGAGATTCAAACCCAGGTCTGTGACATAAACCACTACATTGTGTTGCCTCAGAGGGAAGAACCAGTGTCTATTCTCAAGGAGGGCAGCTTGTTAGGGTGGAAAAGTCCCAAGCTCCCAAATCAGAAGGCCTGGCTCAAGCTTTAGCTCTTTCTAGCTATCTGGCTTCAGACAAGTCACTTAGCCTCCGTGAACTTCTAGATTGTTCTCTAGAAAATGTGTAGATCAGGACTACCGCCATCATAGGGCTGTTAGAAATATCAAAATAATGACTGTACTTTGCAAACTCTAACAGCACAACTGTGAGAGTAACCAGGAGGATCTTCCCTTTAAAAGGAAGGCAAACATGGAAGCCTCAACCTTTCCACAAGAGGTGCAAAAAGAAGCTGCCCTGCCTGGTCTCCCCACCCTAGGTGGCCCTTTGTTCCCTGCTGGGCCTGCATGCTGGCTCACCCTTTTCCACAGCGCCTCTCCACTTTCGGGCCCAGTCAGCCAGCTGCTGGGCATAAGCCTTCTCGATGCGGGCACGTTCCTGGAAGCAGGTGACCAGGTCCCCACACAGCCGATGCCCATCTTCCACCCGCTGCACTGTCCGCCTGTAGTTTCCGGCCTGGGGCATATATGGAAAGGACAATGTGTCCAGGGAAAAGCCCCCTCAAGGGCTGGGGCTGACAGCTATGTAATTCCCCTGGACAGGTGGCTGGGCCCAAAGGAGGGTGGGCATTTCAGTGCCACTCCCAAACCTGGAACCCAGCTGCTCACCTCCCAAAAACTGCCCTCTAGGGCCTCCCCTCCGGCATCTTCCTCTGGAGCCATGGTGTCCCCGCAGCAAGGAATGGTGGCAGATTGAGGCTGTGGAGCACAGAGGGATAAGCAGGGAAGCTGGACATACACTTTTAGGGATAGAAAAAGACCCTCTCCTATCCATGGGCTTTGTCCCCACTGCCATTCCCACCACCCAGGAAGCTGTTGGAGCTCGGACTTAGCAGGCACGGGTCTGGAAGTCCCCAGGAGGAGCTGGCATAGGAGCAAGGATAGCAGTTCCAAAGCTGCTCCGCTCACCCTGGGCTGGCACTCTGCTCCCCTCATCTCACTCACGTACCTGTAGCCTAGAGATCACTTCAGGGATCTGGGTGTCCAACTTTCAAAGCTGCCACTGTGACTCTGCCTTGAAGCTGATGGGAGCAAAGCAGGGAGTGAGGGCAGGGGCCTAGAGTGTCCAGGGCGGTGCCCGGCTCCCCCGATATAGCAACTGCTGTCAGAAGCGCCAGATTCCAGCCAGGAGAATGCCAGGCAGGTCACACGATCCAGCTGGGGATTAAATGGCAGGCGGGGGTGGGCAGTGGGCAGAGGGCCCCACTCCCCTGACTGTAGATGAGAGAAGAGGACACCTGCCCAAGTCAACACCCTGCTGCCTTTCCTTGAACGATAAAGCAACCTTTTTCTAGACCAGACCAAGTCAGGGTGCCCAGCCACACTCCAGTAGTTCCCT